GTGTTTGCTCTGCTCCTGTATTTTATTGTTTTGTGGACTTTGATATTGAATACTGTTCGTTATCTCCATATCCTTCATGTTAAATATTCGAATTTTTTATTTTGTTAAATTCAATTATTCTAATGTCAGTTAATTGTACATGTCAGTTTTTCTTTGTATACGTATTATTTATATGTACAAACACATGTTTTAGAGTCATTTGCCTCTTCGCTTATAATCAGATCATTTTGTATGGAGTTTTCGGCTGTCGGGGAAGAAAAATTATAGCGTTGACCTTATTGCTTTAAGGCTTTTTTTTCTTTTTTTTTTCTCCCGTGATGAGGTTAATAACTGTCTTGTTTCAGAACATTGTCCATTGCCATATGCCTACAGTAGAGCATTCAATTACTGTTTGGGATACGAAGGACATTTTGGTAAAGACGACGGTTTTTCAAGGTGTCAAGAAAAGGGAGGAAGGTTTCTACTGATCAGAACTGCAGAAGAAAACAAATTTGCCAGTTTGTTAGCATGTAAGTATGACTTTTTATTGGAAAAGTTTTATGTGCCCGGATCGATAGACCTGGGGCGGATATTGGTTTTGTCCTGTCTGTCTGCCTGTTTGTCCTTCTGTTTGTCTCAACTTTAACCTTCGGCATAACTTTTGAACCATGAGAGATAGAGACTTCATATTTGCTATACATAATCCACTAATTCAGCTCTTTCAAATGACACCAAGGTCAATGACCTTGTAACCTTGACTGTGAGACCTATATGCTAAAAATAGCTTTTTCGAACTTTGTTGCCGCATAGTGTTTCACAAACACATCTTGTTTTTATCATATTTTCTTATTAGTTTCAAATTGTTCGCTAATTTGAGAATATATATCATGCATATACTGGTCTGATATCACATTTTTTTGTATTTTAATGAACATTTCCCAAATTTCTTATCGTACGATAAATAATTCGTAATAATGAATATACTTAAGGAGGCTATGAATGTTTTAGTATATTTATGTTATATATATATATATATATATATATATATATATATATATATATATATATATATATATATATATATATATATATATATGTGTGTGTGTGTGTGTGTGTGTATTAAACTTATTTTGTAATGAATTCTTTCAGATAATTTTAATCACCTCCAGAATAAATACGGCAGGCAAATGATTGTTCAAGGCGACTTCGATTTTTTAGACATGACCTGGAAAGATGATAGCGGTAATAATTTGACATTCACACAGTTCGTAGACGAAAGTGAGGCTATTCCGAATTCGACATCTGCATTAATTATCAAACATACGTACAATCCTTCAAACTTTAAGATGATTTCTCGTATAGGAAACAAAAATCCGGCCATTATAGTGTGCATAATATAAGAAAACAAAATCCTTATTTCAAAAAATGTCCCATGGCTTTGGTATTTAAAAAATATATGTCCCATGCTTTGAGACTTATAAAAAAAAAGTTACTGTCCCATGGTTACATCTTAGTGTTAGTGAGATAACTGGAACAAAACTAAGGAGTCTCTCAGACTACAGATATTTCAAACATCGAAAGAAAAAAGGTTTTTTGTTTGTTCATTTTTATCTGTTGTAATATTTTCCATTAAAAGATTTATGTTGCATTTGTATCCTTCACTTCAGTTTCAAAGATAGGATTTTTTTTTCGAAATAAAAAAAAAAAAATAAAACGAATATTCCTCTTGGCATGGGTTAAGTACTGTAAGGCATTGAAAAAAAGGTTTGTGTCCCATGGGCACTTAATGCTATAAATGTTTTTGTTCCATGGTTTTCTTCGATGAAAAAACTCATTGTCCCATGCCCGTTTGTACCGGTCCCATCATTGTGATAAATTTTGCCTGGTCCCTTATGAAAGAGTTGAAGAAGAACAAATGATACCAAAACAATGTGATTTGAAAAGAATTATTATTGATTTCTTTGTATAAAAACAAATGATGTTTGCCATACATGTTTATTATCATGTACAATAAAATTATTATTGGCTTTTTGAATTATCGAAGAAAATCTACAGGTTATGACTCCTTTCTTAATGAGATTTCATGAATATGCAAATCGAACTCAAAACGAGGCTAAGGTCGTATCGAGTACAAACAAAGATGGAGAAAAAAAGCGTCTGCAACGCGAGACTTGACAAAAGTGCCAAATATTACCTTTGGTTTTGTCGAGAGCTTCATAAAGAAAGGAAGCCAGAGTCTCGGAGAAAAGGAAATATCCAAAGGATATAAATATTTCGCCGAGAGATACCGTATGTAACAAACATCACAAGTACGTATGAAAATCTCCGTTTGAACTTTCACTTTGCTTACGATCACGATGTACGATGGTCAAGTGTTAAAATCTATGCACACAATGTAGGGAAAAACAGATGCGTTTAAATTATATTTATGAATAATAATCTTCATAAACTAACTAGTGCTAATTGTAACGGGGACCGTTACAGATGTTCCCCAAACGCTCCCCAAATCCCTTTTTGAGCTTAATTCCTGTAAGACATTTTAAAAAATATGATCAGTATCGAAAGATTTCATCAAAGAATAATAAAAGCTACAATGATATCAACTATATGTCATTTAAGGCATTGTACGTGCACGCACGTGCATGTACATGCAAGATGATCACAGCATGTTGTCTAAACATTAACATACCTATATATCGTGAGAATAAATAAAAAAAATTCTTTACAATATACATTTTAATGTTTTTTTTAAAAATTGGCCATTTTGCGCGTGCACATGCATGAATGTATGTTCGTGCATTCAATTTTGATAGTACCATTATTTTAGGAATCAATTATACCTATTCATATTCTAAATTTTATCCCGTTTCGTTGAAAACTAAGAAAGTTATAGACATTTAAATTTTCAGCCAATCAGATTGCAGCAATCGTGTATGCACATGCTTTTCATGAAAATTCTTATATACCATGCTGTAGATCTTGATAAAGTATAAATATGTTCAAAATTTCAAAGGATTTTGTCGAAAAACAAGAAAGATATTGAAACTTTAGTTTCAGCCAATCAGAGCAAAGTGCACGTGCATGCGCGTGAGATCTTGCTATTTTGACCATGTCCTCTAGTCTATGCTTTTAATATATCCTTATATTTACATTTTCAATGTCTTTGTCCGAGATAAAATTACCAATTGTAAATGTAATTGATTTCCTCATGAATGTTTTGGCGCGGTTCCAAAAAAAACCACGTGCAGGGCGGGACAACACCTAGAGAGAAGCAGGCTTGGAGCCCGTGGATTGGCGGAATCAAAGCATGTAAATATAAGGAATAACTGTCAGATTTTTCGAATTCATGAAGATGATCAATGGATTGGCTTGTGTGATAATTTTATGCATAAACGCCTTCGGCGTTTATGCAAATTATCACACAAGCCAATCCATTGATCACTTCATGAATTCGAAAAATAAGACAGTTATTCCTTAAATAAGTTTCAAAACATTCCATCAAACATTTAAATAGTTACGTCTATATCAATTATATTGGACATTTCTGGTGTTGCAAGTGCGCGCTCTTGCAAGCACACGTGCATGCACATGCTTTCATGATAATTCTTTTATATCAGGCTGTAGATCTTCCTAATGTATGACTATATTCAAAATTTCAAAAGATTTTGTCAAAAAACAAGAAAGATATTGAGACTTTAGTTTCGACCAATCAGAGCGAAGCGCACGTGCATGCGCGTGAGATCTTGCTATTTTGACCATGTCTTCACGTCTATACAACTAATATATACTTATATTATGAGTTTCAAAGCATTTAATCAAAAAATAGAAAAGTTACGGCTATATCTATTATATTGGTCATGTCACGTGTTGCACGTGCGCACTCTTGCAAGCACGTGCGCACAAAATGACCTTTGTACCACAAATCTACATAATATGCCTACTGACCCTAAAAAGGTTTCACCTTAGTCTGATGTGTAGTTTACAAGATCACTCGCGGAAAAGATTTTCCCAGGAAGAAGAAAAATAAGAAGAAGAAGAAGAAGAAACAGAGTAAAAACAATATGTTCCCCAACTTCGTTTGGGGAACATAATAAGTCAACAAAGTTATTCATTTTCCTGAATTAAATTTAGTTCACAGTGCAGTAAATGGATGTGTGGTGAAAGGAAAATGCCACAGGTCACAGCGAAGGAATGAATCCCCTCATGATATTGAGGTAAGAAAAAAATTAATTTAGATAAATAAGATATATAAATTACATGTATAATTAGTAATTTGAATAAAAAAAAAACATATCAAAATTTGTAAATTAAGTGACAGCTAGATAGCATTGTTTTGCATCTATACTTTTTCTATGCTGCTTTGTTCACCAAGCTGTGGTACATTTTGTAGATTTTTCTGCTGGATGGTCCCAGTGTGGACAGCAGCTCTTGTTCGTGTGCAATTGGACAGTCAGGACACTGTGGGCATGTGACTGGGCTGTTATTTTGTCTTGCACATATGAAATCAGTTAACATGCCATTTAGACCATCTGATGTTTTGAAGACTTCTCTGCCTCAGACCTGGCATCTGCCACGAGGAGAGAAGATCTCCGGAAGCACTGCGGACAACCTGGTTGTACATGGTTACGATTCCAAATCACCTCAAGAACAACCCCGTGGATTACGATCAACTTTGTACAATCCAATCAATTCTGATATCCCACCAATCTCTGACCTTTGTTCCAGAGTTTCGGCAGTTGACAAGACTTCTTTGTTACTTACTGTTGTGAATTTGGATGACAAAGTGGACTTGAAATGTACAGAAACAAAGTTTGGTAAATTTCCAAAAGGATCTCCACTTGCTGTGCAACAAAAACTGTCATCCCATTATGTATTAAATATTTTAGATGCTGGTGAATTTCCACTTCTTCCTGTTGAAAATGTTATGCAACAACAACTGCATGTGATTCTTGATGAAAAAAAAAGTGGTAGTTTGTCTGCTATATATGTGACAAAAGAGGAGTGCCATCAAATTGAGGAAATGACAAGGTTGCAAGGAGAAAGTCCCAAGTGGCCTGCCATTCGCAAGGAGAGAATAACAGCATCTGTTTCTGGTGATATTGTGAAGCGTAGAGTAGGTAATGTGTTAAAAATTCTTATCATGGTTTATGCAGACATATACCTCATTCAAAACCATTTCAATATTTGATATATATTTGCATCAATTTAAATTTACATAAACATGTATTTCCAACATATTTTATATGAAAATGAATTTTCTTTGCACATATATAAATTTTAATTTATGCTGAAATTATTGTATATACTCTGTTTATAGATTTTGGACCTTTAATTAAAAGATTGAAGACAACAAGAAAAGTCGTCACAGAGAGTATGCGACACGGATTGTCATTCGAGGCAGTCGCTGCTGAAGCCTTTGTACAAGTAAGTGATGTTAATCTATATATCAAAGATGTAGCATAATACAATCACTATTATACATGTTCACAAGATTCAGGACATGTAACACAATTTATGCATGACTGATCTTAGATTCATGTATTTTTTTTATATCATATTTTAAAAATCTTATTAAATTTCTCTTAAATTGCAGTTGCAAAACAACAATGTCAACATATACCCTTGTGGAATCATTGTCAGTCCTTATGCTTCCTGGCTTGCTGCTAGCCCAGACAGAAAGGTATACAACCCAACTATGAACCCCCCTTATGGTTTGCTAGAGATAAAGTGCCCGTAAAACCCTTAACAGAGTGTGTTTATCTGAAGAAGGATGGAGATGTATGGAGACTGAAGGAAAACCATAACTACTACCACCAAGTTATGATGCAGCTTGCCGTGACAGGTCTTACCTGGTGTTATTTCTTTGTGTGGCACTGTGATGAGAGCCATTTGGAGGTGATTACCTTTGATAATGAAGAGTGGCAGGAAATGAAAAACAAGATTGATTCATTCTATTTTGACTACTTCCTTGAATAAAAACAATCTTTAAACTTATTTTTAAAATATTTTTTAATCATGCACAGTAAAACAAACTTATAGCAAATACACTTTTAATGAAATGATGACTAACAAATTCACACATACAGCAAATTGATTTCTTTTCCCTGTGGTTTTGAAACATACTGACAAATATTACAAATTTGAAACAAAGCAAACTTAGTAGTCCCTGCAGTTTTGTTATAAGCATGTTTTACTGTACAGCTATATTAAAAACAGAGGGCCACATAGCTTACTGAATAAAAGCTGAATAGAGGATATGTTATGTATATATAAAACCCTCCCTTATCAAAAGAAGTAAAAAATTATCTTGAGAAAAATAACCAATATACAGTGTTCAGCCGAAATCCTATTAATCAACAATAAAAACAGTCATTATAAGAATTTAATTACTAGTTGACATAATAAATATCATAGCAGCTTACACCCTGAACTCAAAATTGAGTAAATATATGTCGTGTATTCACATTAATAAAGTTTTTCATTTACACCAATCTTTGACAAGGAGACCTCTGAACAGAGTCAGCATATTAGCAACAGTCCAAATCTGATTTATTGTACCAGTCATACTCAATGGGATGACACCATCAAAGAGATGGCATTCTTTGACCCTACGAATATGTCTCTCAATGTGTATTCTTAGCTTTGCAATAATTTGTGTTTGTTCTACCTCCTGCTTTGAAAACTGACCTTGGCTAAGAAGAAAGGGAGGGGTGTTGACAGAAATGCCTGTACCTTCTAATACCTTGTTCAGCACAAACCCTTTATCAGCCATAATTGAGTCACCTTCTTCCATAAGATCAAGTAGGCCAGATAATTTTGTTATTTCGACGTCTGACATGCACCCTGTGTATAATGAGGAAACAAAAGTGAGAGCTCCATGAGGAGCGATTCCTACAAGCCCTTTCCATGTGTGTGAACTCTTATATGCTGAACAAGTATTAGCTTTCCTAAAAAGCTTGTCTGACGTTGTTTGCTTAAATTCAAAAAGCGCAATGAAATAATAAATTATGTTAAATAATTTCTTTCGTTCGATATTATATCTTCAAGAGACCATGCGTTTTCAATATTGTATATACAATAATGTACAAAGAACTTTAAATTGAAGCTCCTGGATCATGAAACAAACTAAGACTTAAGTGATATTTTTAATCGCCGATAAAATATTTATTAATTATGGAATTGATTTCTTCATTTGCACATAACAACATCTCTGTGAAACAATGTTAAAAATAACCTTAACCCTTCTGGTCTGCTTGACTTTTACAACATTTTATTATAAAACTAGACGTACTGTGAGCGATGAGCTCACTTAATAATACCCCCGCCTCCCATATGAATATAATGGCAGTATCCATGTTTTGCTCTGGAAAATCCAAAATATATGTCAGATCAAAAAGTAAATTAGGATGTGCACAATGGCAATATGTAATAAAGATTCTGTGAAAGTTTCATTAACCTTCCTTCAGTGGTATGAGAGGAGTTTCGGATAAGAGATGGGTACCCCAAAGCGTAACAGACGAACGGACGGACATACCGATTACTATATACAGTGTACCCTCCCATATTTCAAGCAGGGGGGGGGGGTGTAATAAAGATTTTGATCGACTTAGGCTTAAGATGTTTCAAGACCCAGGGTCAGCATTTTTCAAGCAATGTTTTATATGTTAAATGACCTAACTGATTTTATTCAACAAACAGAATAAAATGAAGGTTAAAAATGATGAAATCAATGGGAAGATCTTTAATCACTTAATGGGCGCGTATAACCCTAACCCTAACCCTCGCGATAACAATCTTGACAGAGCGTTACACATGCTGACCATTCCCCTTCTGTTCTTGAAAGCTTTCATTGCTTCTCAACCCATTTGATGTACAGTGATTCTCTACTTAACACTGTTACGTAATTGATTGATGATATTCTGAACTGAAGCGTCTGGGAAAAGAAACAAGAAGATGCAAACTAATTTATGTACAATGTAATATGGTCTCAGGCCTTAGTTGGTCTATTACCTCTAACTTTATTTTTACAGCACTATATAGAATAGATTTTACTAACTGTTTTTTCATCACTCTATTTTTTTTTAATTTTTTTTTTATTTTTAATTTTTCTTTAGTCTTTTATGAAACCACCTTCTCGGGTGCTCCTTATACATAGGAGGGAACTCCATAACTAAACTGAACTGAACTATGGTCCAAAATATAATCGTTGGATAGGAGTGAAGTATAACACTTCAGCAACATACAAATCTGTTTACACAATAAAGAATTAAAAGCGAACTTGAATAAGACATTTTTTCTGTTTTCACTGCATTTTTCTATAGGTACTGTATTATCAGTTTTTACAATACTTGGAACAGGGCAACTAAGGAAAATATTTGACCACGTGCCTGATGTTTAGCTACTAGTAATTCAATGTCAAGGTATAATTTTACTGAAAATAAGCAATCAATTATTTAACCGAAACATGTAAAATGACTTAATCTTTGATACACAACAAAACAGTGAGATTTATATAATAAGGAACTGAAGCGGACATGTTCAATGGTGAAAGCACGGATTATACTAAAGACAAGATCATTCAGTAAATAAAAGCTCATTTCCTCCTAGGACGAACTATACATGTGTCTTTGGAGATTATGCATGTATCCAAATTTCCACCATCGAACTATCTAAACAATTCCATGGAACGACTGCATAAATAAGCCCTGGTTAAATCTAGTACTGTCTGACGCCGTGACGTCAGACAATAACATTTCGACCCAATTGCTAAGGATGATGGACGCTCAGTTTTAATCTCTGTGCAGTCAATTATGACTTGAAGGACTGGGGCATTTTTTCATAAATGTGTTCCTTACTAGGTCAAATATTTATGCTTCCTAAAATAAAATAAAGAAAGTTTGCCCATGTTATGATCTTTCGACTAACAGTAGAAACATGACAATTGAATCTGACTCCTAAATCTTGTGCCATTAGACCACACTTCAACCTGCATAAGAACATGAACAACTCGTCAATTAACAACATGCTTCTTTGTTTGCCTACATTTACCTGCTGGTAAGGTTTATCACAAGATTTATAATAATAGCTTTTCATACATGTTGCCGTAGGTTTGATGTATTCAAAAAAAAAGCTAAAAACATAGCCATTGTAGTAAATCCTGTGTAAAATTGAATCATTGAATCGTCATTTGAAAACCGCTGAATTCAAAATCGTTCAACCTCAATCTTCTGTTGTAGAGTCTTTATTTCCTCATTCCTCTTCTGTAACAAACTTTCTAATTCTTGGATTCTCTCATTCTTCTCATGTATTTCATCAGGAGGAGGAGAACTAAAATCATGAGTTTTTTTTGTAAAGAGACTCTGCAAAAATTATATTAGTACATGAAAAAAATCATACCTTACTGACATGATGACCAGCATTCTACTGTCCAGCAGCAGTTGAAAGTTAAATCATTCAAAAAAGTTGATTACAATTGCAAACTGAATATATCAAGTAATCAGTTTGACAAAAGAATAACTCTTCCGAGAATGATTCATGTAAAATTTGACTTTATGAAACATCTCCTGAAAAATTCAAACTTCTGATTGTAAGTCTATATTCCATCAGTATGCATATATTTTTTTAAATGAAGTCACCTTATGCTGTAAAATGTAAAACAATATTAATTAAACGATCTTGTTGTACACAAATAAATATTATATCAACACAGTATAAACTGACCATTATAAATTTCAATAAAATATGTTACAACACAATGTGTTGTGTTTTACCGGTAGTACAGTACATGTTGACCATAACAAAAATTCTGACCAAAATTAGAAATGTACTAAACCACGTGTTCGAAGTAACATGTAAAGATGTATTTGACGTAAACGTATTCAATCAACAATTGGTCAGTTACTCGTGCTAAGTAAAGATCCTCTGCGCGTATTAATGTCAATAGCCATATAAGGCAAACGAAGGTTTGTCAGTGTAGATGATATTACACATTTTTTTTTACCAACGTATCGGTCGCTATTGAGCTGTAATTTTTGCAGTAAACTATGATAAGATGTATTAATTGTTATTTACCCCCCATAACCCCTTTCGCCACCCATTTCTGTTGAAAATCATGAAAGTCTTTCAGCTAGGCCTGGAAACACATTTTTCACAGGACATGTTTTCAGAAGAAACAGACTATAGCAATTTCCTGTTTACTGCCAATTTTATTTATAAAACCGGTTCTACCCTATAACCCTTGAATAGGTAAACCTAAACCACGTGTCTTGAATTTAAATCACAATAACATTAGTAGGGGTGAATAAGAGTGTTCGACCTTTTTGTAGTTCGTGTTGCTTCGTGGATTGTGTTTGTCAATTGATAGTTCAATATGACATCTTGTAAAGGATTTGAACGAGACTCGTCTAAAAGATCAACATTTAAGTCTCCTACAATGAGATATTTACTGGATATATCGGATACTTTTTCTAGTGACCATGAAAGTTTATCCCAGAATGACATTGCTATTAGACTTTTACGAGAAGCGCTGAATTTTACGGTTGACGAATTCCTCTCACACTAGGACAGTGTACGGAAGCTCATTTGCGGTATGATAATTTAGCTCAACATTTAATTCCACGAATATAACGGGCTATTTCAAAGCACAGATTAGTTGACCTTGATGAAAACGACAACCATTCTACCCTCAAATCCAGGCCTTCACATACAAGTGCCCCTAACACCATTATCATGACCACCAGAAAGATTTTCTTTTCCATTATCAATTCTGTACCTCCGTAGATGTGAGTGTTTAAATGTCCAAGTAAACAGTCAACTGTAAAAGTCAGTGCTTCTCGTAAAAGTCAAATAGGCGGACGGAAGATACAACAAAGGAAAAATTTACAGGTAGGTTCACTTATTTCTAACCAGACACATTCAATTGACGTAGGTTCAAGGTCATATCGACGAGTTGCATGAATGAATGAAGAAATATAAATCAGAATACCCCCTCCATGTGAATTTCTGTCTCTGCGAAAAATTTTGTCACACCCGTCTAACATAATGTCAGCGTTACATATATTTGTGTCTAAATGCGTTTCAGTAAAACATAAGATGTCAAAATCTGTGACAAATATCGCTAAACTTTCTATTTTATGACGAATACTTCTTATGTTTAGGTGAAAAATATCGAGCGTTTGTATTGGGTCATTAGTAGGGCCTGGATTTAATTCTATATCACCAGATAAAAGATGTAGAAGGACGAGAATCTGAGACCAAAAGTGTATGTGTATAATATTTCGTTGAAAAATAATGCAAGATTGCAACTGTTTAAATCTTTTTTGACAAAAGAGTAATAAAAGCGTAGGTAAGTATGAGGCATTAAATAAGGGGAATAACTCCGATTTCATTGTACATCTGCACTTGCAATAATAGATACCAATCGCGGCTCGATATTATTGGATAGTATTACCTATCTTGGGTTAAAAAGAGATTTGTGATCTTCGTAAAAATAAGCCAGTGAGTCGCGATAAAAAAATGTTTCGAATACAAGCACATGATTTGGTTGCAGTAGATAACAAAACTGTGAACACATGATGAAAAGATAAAAAAAAAAAAATAAACAGAAAACAACAAAACTGAAAAAAAAGGAAAACAAACTGACAAAAAATGGAACAGATACCGTAAAGGTAGTCTAAGTGATTCAGTCAAAACTGAAATATGTACAAAGAGACTAATCACTATGAGAAACACTAATGACATTGTGTAACTAAGGAGATGTTTAAACTGATTATTACCTTATAATTAAATTTACATTTACGTATTATAGCAGTGAACAACTGCAACAGGTGCAGGGGGGGGGGTTACCTGTAAGATAATACAGATATTTGTCACAAAGTTAACGGTTTAATAAATAATCAAGTTGATCTAGAGATGTCATCTCGAATCTGGTCCCTTGCAGTTCAAACTTAATGTAGATTCTGCCATCGTATGTCCAAAAGCTATGTACAACTTTGGTATTTTTTGCTTGGATGATTTTCGACACGATTGTTTGTCTATATTTAGTTATGTCTTTTCTGAAGAAAATTCTGTCTGCGTTGTTTTTTAGGGTTTTTTTTTTTGGCACTGTACACTTTGGTTTTTTTATTTTCCAGCTTTGGAATTTACAGATAATTTGTATTTTGTTATTTTTGTTTGGACGTCCAATCGGATGCGAGCGGTTGATGTCTTCTGGGCTGATGGTAACTCCCATCCCTTCACATATTTTGATCACTGAAGCATCAGTATCTGGGGCCACCTCCTCCTCGTCCTCTGAACCTGGAGCTGGTATCGGTACATTGTGGAATCGTAATGATGTTCTGCGTCCGTACTGCTCCAGATTATCCAGACCGCATTCAAGGTCATCGACCCTTTGTTTGAGATCAGAGTTTATTTCTTTCAGTGATTGTATCTGTTCGTTTTGATCTTCTATGTCTTTTTGTTGTTCTTGAATGGAGCTTAAGATTGGTTGAATGCAACTCTGAACTATCACCTGACTATGGGGGGTAATTGCCGAAGCAATGAGAGGAGCAAAAGCCCCTATGAAAGCTTGACTGTTAATTGCTTTTACGATCAGTTCATTTATCATGGAGGTTTGTAACTCCCCTATGTGTTCATGTTCAGATTTTGAGGAATCGAGATCATTCTTCCTTTGTTATCTACCGTCGAACTGAAAATGAAATACGCGACAAAGTCTAAAACGTCCGACTCTGAAATAAAAAATCATGAAACATCCTAAGTTAAAGTCAACATTTTACACTTTCTATATATGGTCGATACCTTGTGAGCATTTTATAAGTTGAATATTGATTGAGATTAAAATACTTAACACTTTCAAAGAACTTTTTGGACTACCGTACTAGTATTTGAAAGATTTTACCAAAATCAACAGCTCAAAAACTTACAACTTTTCAACTTTATACACAATCATTCCCCAGGATAAATCAAAGTCCAGAGTTTTTGATATCATTGACAGCTGCTTTTTTCAGTAAAAATGGTACTCGTAAATTTACTTACCTTGTCACTGGTCATTTGCAAAATTATTTTGTTAAAAAAAAACATTCTGATTGTACACACAAGTACTCTTTTTCGAGTTTCCGATTGACAATATCTATGTTGTTTTTGGATACCCGGTCTTCCAAAAAATGTATTGGAATTCCCATGCATGGGAACCAATTAACCCCCTTTATAAGCAAATCTATTTTTGTATTCATATGAAGTAGAATTTGTCAAAAATTTTATTCTTGAAAAGAAGAAAACACTAGTTGTGGCCTTCAACTCGACATTAAGATATATCGTCGACGTTCTGTCAATTAACAATGGTAATTTCCATTCTTATTTATCTCAAGCTCAACGGGATGTATCGTATCGACATAATTATGTCGATACGAAATATTTCGTTGAGCTTGAGATAAATGATATCACACATCTATTTCAAACTTGGATATTTTACTTGAGAGAGACGTCAATGGTAACCTAACAACCAAGATCTATGATGTTAACTTTTCAATCGTACACTTCCCTTACTTATGCAGCAATATATCTTCATCACCCTCGTATGGAGTTTATATCTCTTAGTTGATTCGATACGTAAGAAAATGCTCTACGTATGAACAATTTATAAAACGAGGTAAATTATTAACAAACGAGTTGATGAAACAAGAATTTAAGCAGTCTCGTTTAAGGTCATCATTTCGTAAGTTCTATGGTCGATACAAAGACCTTGTCAGCAAATACAATTTATCATTGAGGCAAATGCTGACTGACGTTTTTCATACTAATTGTTAGTTTATTATTTAATTCATACACTGAATTAACAACGGACTTTTTTAGTTATTTCCCGATCATGACAATGAGCACACGACGGGTGTCACCGGTCAGCAGGGGATGCTCACTCCTCCATGGCACCTGATTGCACCTCTGATGTTTTGGAGGTTCGTGTTGGCTCTGCTCCTATTTTGAATTGTTTTATGGATTTTTATCTTGAATACTGTTCGTTATCCCCATAGTAAGTATGTAAGTAAGTAGTAAGTAAGTAAATATTTTATTATAGTGACATGTGTATAGACAACAAATAGATACAATATAAACGTATGAACATCACACCCGGCCCATGGGACCTATATGTCACTTTAATATATGTACAGTATTACTTTAATCATTTGAAGATAGCACGCATGATGGGCATTAATTTGATTGATATAAACATGTTTGTCTTATTGAAAAACGTAAATTAAAAAATTTGGCAGTTTGTCTCTGATGATTTTTCATTAAAGTGTTTACATTTTCATATGTTTAATTAATTAAACAAATGGTTAGGTAATTATTTTCATACTGAGCTGTAAACGCGTTTTTTCCTTGCACAATAATGACAAATTGCTAACGGTAGATTAGGGATATATTTTCTCTAAATTGCGCTTGTTCCCACCTGTTATCTTCAGACTTAAATTATGAATGGGTTTAGAACCTTCGAAATCTTCATATATTTTATAACAAGCCGTTTCTGTCAACTAAAACCCTGACGTCAGGTCATTCTGGACCTTAAAGAATTGTTATTTTATTGAAATTGCGAACGTTAATAAATAATTTATACACATAATACTTGAATCACATAACTTCAAATTTAAAATGTATAACTTTAAATCTAAATCGAGCAAAACTTTAGAGAAACTATTTAGGTATAAGTTGTAATATTGTTTTTTTCTAACACAGATACGAGGGGTTATCAAAAAGTTCGTGGACTAGCGCCATAAAATTAAAACCGCTTTAGGCACATCAATGAATTTTAAAATATCTAGTTAGCATCATCTTTTCTCTCTAACGAATAAACCATAAATCATCAATTTATTTTTTAATAAATAAGTAATGCTTTTGTAATCAATGGTTTATCTAGGCGGCGCAACATCGAAGGCGACGTTTTTGCGACCTATGTGTAACTGAGAAAAAACTCTTTTGATATGAACATTTGACATCCAAAAATCCCGTTAATTCAGATATTTGTTGGGACACAATTGTTCCATAAAATATGAAATTTTTACTTCATTTTGGAAGTTTTATGAAATTCTATCGTAAATTTTACATGGAGTGTCCAACCAAATAAGGCCTTGAAAATGACGTCAAAAGGGGGGAGGGGTTTCCTTTTCCAACATTCTATAAAGTTTTGCCCCTGAAAAAACTGGAATAGACCTAAGAAATGTTTAAACTGGCTACAGAGAAATAATATGCATCCAGAGTACTTGTCTTTTAATGTCAAAATAGATTCAGAGAGAAAGGAGATGCACATGCAGTTAATGTCAATTTGTATTCAAGGTGTGAAAAATCAATCACGTCAAAAAATGACATTGGTCATGTGTTGTAGCAAAATTGGGAGTTTGCTCCTAAGAGCAAAATATGCTGGCACAATCAAGCGAGGATCTCTCCCAATGTATAAATCCATTTGGAATATTATATTCATTGAATTCATGGCATTGTTTAAGACTTTGTCCTTACTCACCTCCAGGAAATCTCATTTAAAAAAGTGTATGAGATAGCAGATGTGGACATTGAAAAACAATGACGTTGTCGGACGTCATGAAACTAAACGGCGACAGCGCCGGGTAATCATATAATGTCGTTTTTATTATAATAATTTGGCAAATAATAAAGGAATAAAGCTAAAATTTTCAACATTTCTTTATTTTTTGTTGTTTTATGTTCCATATAAATTTTGAAAGGACAGACTACATAGTACTAATTTATACTAATTTAATAAACTCAATCCACGAACTTTTTGATAACCCCTCGTAAATGTGTCATTTTCAAAAGTAATTTCTGCGATTTGTCATTTGAAAACGCAATGATTTGAGCAATAAAAGATGGCAACTTTACTTGTTGCCAACCCAATAATATAGTATTGTTACTTTAATTTGGCATGAGAGAAATTTATTTTGTACGCTCTTTATACAAATTTCTAAATAATAGATTTCAGGGTTTATAGCTCACCTGAGCCGAAGGCTCAAGTGAGCTTCTCTGATCACATTTTGTCCGTCGTCCGTCCGTGTGTCTGTCCGTCTGTCTGTAAACTTTTCACATTTTCAACTTCTTTTAAAGAACCAATGGGCCAGAAAAGCTGAAACTTATGTGGAAGTATCCTGGGGTAGTGTAGATTCTAAATTGTTCAAATCATGACCCCCGGGGGTAGGGCGGGGCCACGATGGGGAATCAAAGTTTTACATAGAAATATATAGGAAAAATCTTTAAAAATCTTCTCAAGAACCACTGGGCCAGAAAAGCTGACACTTATGTGGAAGCATCATGGGGGTAGTGTAGATTTCAAATTGTCTAAATTATGATCAGTGGGGTAGGGTGGGGTCACAATATGTATTACAAAGGGGAAATCTGGTAAAGAACAGAATGGTCAAAGCTTCTCAGGTGAGCGATGTGGCCCATGGGCCTCTTGTTTTTTTTTTTGTTTTTTTTTTGACAGACCAAATTATTTAGAGTTTTGTGAATAAATCTCAATCCGCATTAGGCTATGTGTATATTTACATTGTAAATATTACTTTAATGTACCTCAAATGCATCATTTATTTAGCGAGATGAAAAAATAATAAAATTTTGCTTGAATACCCTCCTGTTCGAAGTCTGAGTTTCGTTTTTATATGATAGCAAGTTAAATGTGAAGTTATTTTTAAATCATGAACCGTCCTTTCAAAGAAAAGTGCTTTACGAGTACATTTACTATGTTTGTCCTTGGGAGCTGAAAGATTAACTTTATATTCCAGTATAATTTCATAAATTTTAGTTGCACTCTTAAATTCGTATGTAAATTATGCTTGAAATGCAATGCCAAATTATGTAACATTTAATTTGCAAACAGCTCATATTATCCATCTTGACTTTTGGGATAATCTATTTAAAGACGTTGTTTGAATATTTTAAAATTCGGTTGAGAATTAATTGAAGGCGATTAAAATGTAAATCACATGTTTACTACTTGATTTGTCAGCACAAATTATCAGAGTTCTTTCACTGATAGCCTAACTAATACAGGGGCGCCTAAACTTCGTACAGTGGTTGTGTATCTCTCGTCTCGATTTTTTCTTGTTCTGTCCTCCGCCTGTCCAGTCTCAGAATATATCTTAATATTTCCAATCGTCAGATCCTATTATCATTGGACAGTTTCTAAATCATTCCGACATCTATTAAATTGCTTCGTTCGATTACTTGCAGATTTAAACAAGTGTTCAATTACAATATTGAATGTGGTCAAGTAATATTAACAAGTCACTTCCCAATACGTTTATTAATTAGATACCAATGAGGGATGCTGACCACGTAAATATTAAGATAGTGGTCTTTCGTTCAATTTTGATATTTCATCAATGTCAAACTGACATTGACGCTGACCCATAATATTTCACAGTAATATTTACATCAATATTGACTACATCAAACACATAATTAGTAAACAGAAATAGAGTGCATAAGAACCGAAATGGCTCTCAAGGACATATAAGGATTATTATGCCTTGTACACATATGTCCCTATTAATCAAATATACGAAACACAACATGTATGAAAAGTTAATATAAAGTTTGTTTTTAATAATTCGTTTATATGTAAGGTATGTCCATATGTAAAGTATGTTCCAATTTTGTTACGTATGTATCATATTCGATTTAAAAACTAGTCTTTTTTAGGATTGGGTATAATTTTTATCTGACCTATTTTATATTTCCTATTACCTCGCCAAGGTTTGGACATAGAAAACAAACAACTCGTTGTATATGAATGGTATCCAAAAACAACCAAGGAAGCTCATATACTGGTATGTATCTATCCAAATTGTCCTTCATTGGAATCAACAGGGAATGCTTACTTCTTCTAGAGACCCGATTCCCTTTCTGGAATTTTGATGGGTCCGTGTTTGTGTCTTTCTCGGAGAATTTTACACTGTTTTGTTAATAGATTATTTTGAGATCGATCGCAGTTCATTGTCTTCACTTTTTATCGGTTGCTCTTCTTGTAAAATTATATAATGAAGGATATGGAGATAACGAACAGTATTCAATATCAAAGTCCATAAAGCAATACAAAATAGGAGCAGAGCAAACACGGACCTCCGAAACATCAGAGGTGGGATCAGGCGCCATGGAGGAGTGAGCATCCCCTGCTGACCGGTCACACCCGCCGTGTGCTCCTTGTCATGGTCGAGAAATAACGGAAAAATCCGTCGTCAATTCAGTGTATAAATAATTGACTAACAGTTAGTATGAAAAACGTCAGTCAGCATTTGACTCAGTGATAAATTGTATTTGCTGACAAGGTCATTATATCGACCATAGAACTTACGAAATGATGACTTTAAACGAAACTGCTGATATTCTTATTTCATCAACTTGCTTATCAATAATTTACCTCGTTTTAGAAATTGTTTATACGAAGAGCATGCTCTTGCGTTTCGAATCAACTGAGATACATGTATATATACTCCGTATGCATGTGATGAAGGTATATTGCTGCATAAGTAAGGGAAAGTTAGTCATCACGTTTATCATAGAGCTTGGTTGTTAGATTACCATTAACGTCTTTTTCAAGTAAAATATCCCAAGTATGAAACAGATGTGTCAGACTCTGTGGTATCTTTTATCTCACGCTCACCAGGATATATCGTATCGACGTAGGAATGGAAATTACCATTGTTAATTGACAAATTGAATACGTCGTCGATATATCTAAATGTCGAGCTGAAGGCCACAGCAAGTGTTTCCTCTTTTCATGTGAAAGATTTTGCACAAATTCTGCTTCATATGAATATAAAAATAGGTCTGCTAATAACGTAGCGCAATTAGTACCCATGAGAATTCCAATAGATTGTTGGAATACCTGGTCTCCAAGAACCGCATAGATATTGTCAATCAGAAACTCAAGCATCTCTTTGATGTCAACTTCAGAGTACTTGTGTGTGCAATCAGAATGTTTTAACAAAATAATTTTGCAAATGACCAGGTAAGTCAATTTACGAGTTCCATTTTTATTGAAAAAGCAGCTGTCAATGATATCAAAAAGCCTGGACTTTAATTTATCGTGGGGAATGGTTGTGTATAAAGTTGAAAAGTCGTAAGTTTTTAAGTTGTTGATTTTGGTAAAATCTTATGAATTCAAATTATCCAAAAGTTCTTTGGAATTTTTGAGTATCCATATCTGATTCACACTACTTCTTGAATATATTGTTGCACAGTACTCTTGAAGTTTTTCCTTCACTACTGTCAATATCTAAGTGAGGAGTAACGAAAGAGGCTTGGTTGAACCCGCAATGTATCTTTGTTTGTAAGGATTTTTATGAAGTTTCGGAATCCAATATATAAATGGGTAGTTCAAATTCATTTTGGCTCTGTGGAATATTAAAAAGATTTAAAACTGACATATGATTTTGAAGAATTTCTTCCTTAGAAAGGGAAGTGTGAGAATAAGTAGGATTACCACTTGTAGAATTAAATCTAAGTTCTTCTAAAATACAATTTATATAATGAGCCTAACAAAAGAAGACAATGTTGTTACCTGCTTTGTCGGAAGGGACCAGTACGTACATGTAATCATGTAATCTATCTAATTCTTTTTTCACTTCTGGATTATTGAACACAGAAGAATAGATGGTTTTCATATTGCCCCTCAATCTTTTTATACGCGACTTTAACATGGATCTGATACATTTAATCCCTTTTGACAAGGTGTCAACGTCTTCTTTTTCATATCTGGCCCATCCCTGACGTAATTTTCAACAGAATCCATGATATTTATGAAATTCCGACGCCAGTTGAAGGATCGGGGTTCCCTGTATTTAGGACCTTTTAAAATAAGTGATCTAAGGTCCGCATTATTAACTATATTTACGTCACCTGTAATAACGTGTCCAGCAGGACTATAGTTATAGGGCGAAGAAGAACATGAACACGAAGGAGGATTATGTCTCAGGTACTCGGTATCCAGGCCATGTAAAGTTTTTTTGTAATTGAAAAGTTTGGAAGCAATGGTCGATGTATATTTGTAGGAAATACAAGGTGTAGTCTTTAACTTGAAATATAGTGGAATACAAGACTTTAATTTTGGTTGTAACGCGTCATTTGGTTGGTTAAAAAATTAAACTTCGCGGTTTATAAAGCGTACAGTGTGTAAACTGCCCAAATCCAGAATATACTAAATAATTTGGGTTACTATTTAACTCTATTAATAAATCTCAAAGAATAGTTTAATAGTCTTACTAAAATAAAGACCTTTGTATTGTTAAGACATTCGTTGTGATAACCATTTAAATATACAAATACTATATATCAAAACATAAGGCACCAAGTTTTTGTTATACATGTAATTTATAATTTAGTATGTTAACATTTGAAATGATAACAAACTTCGTTTCAGTGGTTGCGTTGCAGAACCATATCTTAATATTATCATTGACGTTGAATGAATACATATTTGAGAATTATGTAAATACAAATATTTTTATGACCTAATTTATTCAAGTGC